CAAAGCAAAAGAAAAAATTGTGAGGAGGTGGCAGTGTTTTACATGTTTTTACAAATTGTTTTAATGTCTGGCTTAATAGAATACAACTAGATTTTCATATCTGCTTCTGTATTCAATCTGTTAATGATATCATATCTTCTGGAAAACTCATATACTCATGAGAGAATTAGTAAACCAGACAAATAACATGCATTATAGAAATAGTTTGATCTTGTAGAACTCCTGAAATTGTCTCGGGGAACCCCCACCCCCTAATCCTCAAACCACTCCTTGAAAACCACTTGTCTATAGAGACAGTTTCTAAAACTCTCTTGGTTGCTTTCTTTTTGCCTAGCCACCTTCTTTTCTCACTTTTAATTTTTCCTTCTAGGTGAAATCATGCTCCTGGGGCTTCTTTATGATCAATGTATTAATTATCCAAATCAATTAATATTAATAGAAAATTACTAGTATACCATAACACCCCACCCCATGGTTCCTTTTGGTCACTGCCTCCCTTACCCCCATCACCCACAGGTAACTACTGTCCTCATTTCTAGCACTATTGATTAGTTTTTGCCTGTTTATAAGTTCTGTATAAATGGAATCTACAGCATGTACTCCTTTTGCAACTAGATTCTTTTGCTAGCAATATTGTTTATGAGATTCAACCATATACTTCATTTCACATAGTTATAGTTCATTAGTTCTTATTGCTATATAATATCTTATTGTACAAATATACCATAATTTATTCTACTGTTGATGAATATTTGAGTAATGTCCAGTTTGGGGCTATTATGAACAAGGTGCTAGTACTGTTCTTAAACATATTTTTTGGTAAACATATACTTATTTCTCTTGAGTTTATGCCTCAGTGTGGATATCGGGCCGTGGAATGTGTATTTCTTCCTTTTTAGTAGGTAATGCCAAATCAAAAATGGTTGTATCAATTACCTGTATGATATTTTTTGCCTTTTTCATCTTAGCCATTCTAGAAGTGTGTAGTGGTATCTCATTATGGTCTTAGTTTGCATTTCCCTAACAAAGTTGAGAACTTTTTTACATGTTTATTGACCATCGTACAACCTATTTTGTAAACTGTCTATTCCAAATGTTTGCTTGTTCTTCTATTGTTACCTGTTTTTTCTTATTGATTATAGGAATTCTTTATATAGTCTGGATATGACGTTTTTATCAGATACGTAATACATATTGCAAGTATTTCCTCCCACTCTGTTAGTTGCAGAGTAATCTTTTAAAAGAATAAATTGGTTCTTTTCATTCCCCCGTTTAAAAATCTCTAATTTCCCATAGCATCTACAAGCAGATATTACACACATTCTTTTTGTGCTTACAAAACTTTTCATTATCTGGCTGCTTCCTAAGTTTCCAGTCCCTACCCCCAAATCTGTGGTTTTTTTATTTGGTTCCTTAAACAACTTCTGTTTGTTCACCATGTGTTCTTAGGGACCAGTACAATAACAGAAAAACAAAAGTATCACTGCAATAGAAGAAAATGTATGAAAATATTTTGGTAATTTTGGAGGTACATACATCCTCCTAAAATAAGGCATAAAACAGAAACCACAAAAGATTTGGTTACATAAAGATTAGAAATTTCTGTGTAACTATAATAAATGTAGGAATTAAAGACAATAAACTAGAAGAAAATATTTGACTGTGTAACATGTGTAAGCATTGATAAAGACACTATATTAAACATATAATGAGCTTCCATAAATATGTTAGACACAGTCTAGTTAAAAAATAAGCAAAAGTAAAAATATTGGATTTGTAACTCATGGAAGAAATACAAATGGCCATTGAATGCTCAACCTTACTGCAGGGAAATACTCATGAAAATGAAGAGACAGCATTTTTCACCCATCGCTTTGGTGAAAATTAAAAAATGTTATCAAGTGGGAGTTTACATTGATAAACTGTTTTGGAGTGCAGTTTGGCAGTATTAAAAATAGAAATTATACTTTTGTTTGATCCAGCAAATGTAGTTTGAGAAATATCATAAAGAAATACTTGTA